TGTTTGTTCTCCTAACAGTCCATGGTATGTTCAACACTCTTCTCCAGCACCACAGCTCAAAGGCATCAATTCCCTTTCTATCATCCCTATTCACTGTCCAACTCTCTGATGTATAGCACGTAATTGCAAAGACTGTAGCCTGGATCAGGTGCACCTTAGTCTCCAGCCTAACATCATTGCTCTTCAGTACTCTTGAGAGATCTCTCACAGCTCACTTTCCCAATGCAGTTCGTCTCTTGATTTCCTGGCTGCTGTTACCAGGAGTGTTGACTATGGAGTCAAGTAAACTAAACCTGTTAACTATCTCAATCTCTTCACCATCCATACTGATAATGCCAATTGGCCCAATGGTGAGAATCTTTGTTTTCTTGATGTTGAACTTCAATCCGTATAGGAAGCTGCAGTCCTTGACCTTCTGTAGCAAGTGCTTCAGGTCCTCCTCAGTTTTAGCAAGCAGAGTTGTGCCATCCATATAATGTAGGTTGTTGATGATTCTTCCACCAATCCTGATGCCACATTCCTCCTTGTACAGCCCTGCGTCTCTGATGATCTGTTCTGCATACAGATTGAAAATGTATGGAGACAAAATACATCCCTGATGGACCCCCTTCTTGATTTTGAACCATGTAGTGTCTGTCTCCTTGCTCTGTTCTGACAACTGTCTCTTGGTCCAAGTATAGGTTTCGCATTAGCACAATCAAATGTTCTGGGATTCCCATTCTTCTTAGAGTCAGCCACAGATTGTTGTGACCCACACAGTCAAAAGCCTTTGCATAGTCAATAAAGCACAGGTAGACATTCTTCTGGTATTCTCTGCTTTCTGCCAAGATCCATCTAGCATTAGCTATAATATCCCTAGCACAGGACCTCTTCTAAATCCAGCCTGCACATCTGGCAGTTCTCTGTTGACATATTACTCCAAACGTTTTTGGATAATTTTCAGCAGAATCTTGCTTGCATGTAATTTTAATGATATTATTTGATAATTTCCACACTCTGTTGGGCCACCTTTCTTTGGAATGGGAACACATATGGATCTTTTCCAGTGAGTTGGCCAGCTGGCTGTCCTCCACATTTTTTGGCGCAACTTTTGAGCACATCCAGGGCAGTATCTGTTTGTTGAAATATGTCAATTGGTATGCCACCAACTCCTGGAGCCTTGTTTTTTGCCGATTCCTTCAGAGCAATTTGAACTTCCTCCTTCATCACCACATAGGCTCTTGCTTATGTGTTACTTAATGAGATTCTTCTGTGTCAGCCAAGTCCTTCTGATACAGTGACTCTGTATACTCCTTCCATCTTCTCTTGATACTTCCTGGATCATTTAACATTCTGCCCAAAGTATTCTTAAGTATTGCCACCCATGGCTTGAATTTGTTTTTCGGCTCCTTCAGCTTTAAGAAATGGTGAGCGAGTTCGGCCCTTTTGATTTTCTGACTCCAGCTCTCTGCACATTTCATTATTTGCTTTGTCGTCCCAGGCTGCCTTTTGAAATTTTCTGTTTAGCTCTTGCATTTCTTGGTTTCTTTCTTTAGCTTTGGTTTCTCGGTGCTCTAATGCAATAATCAGAGTTTCATCTGATATCGATACATCTTGGTCTTTTCTTCTTTTTCAGCCTTTGTAATGATCTTTTGCATTCTTCATGGACGATTTTCTTGACATCCTCCTAGAGCTCATTTGGTCTACGCTCATTGGTGCTCAAGGCCTCAAACCTGTTCTTGAGATGGTTTTGAAATTCGAGTGGGACAGATTTAAGGTCAAATTTTGGTTCCCACCCGCACAGACATCTTTTCTGAGGGTCACACTGAGCTGCCACTGCTTTGAGGGGAGTCTTTAGAAATCACCACCATGGCGGAAGACATTAAGACCAAAATCAAGAACTCCCGAACTGCCCCTTTTGATAGTCGCTTTCCCAACCAGAACCAAACCAGGAACTGCTGGCAAAACTACCTGGATTTCCACCACTGTGAGAAGGCAATGACTGCCAAAGGTGGTGATGTCTCCGTGTGTGAATGGTATCAGTGTGTATACAAGTCCCTCTGTCCCCTGTCCTGAGTGTCAGCCTGGGATGACTGCAGGGCAGAAGGCACATTCCCTGAGAAGATCTGAACTGGCCCACCTAACCTCTCTGCTGGAATCTTAAATTGTGACTTAACTAATAATAAAGATTTACTGGAAAAATGTAAAAAAAAATTTGGTTCCCATGGACTTGATTTCATTTTCCTCAACTTCAGTTTGAACTTGCATATGAGTAGTTGGTAGTCTGTCCCACAATCAGCACCTGACCTGGTTTTCACTGCTGATATTGAGAAATTCCTATGCATATCAAAAAATCTTTTCCAACAGGTTAAAAAGGAAAGCCACAGACTGGGGGAAAATATTTGGTAATGATATAGCTAATAAGTGACTCATATCTCAAATTTATAGAATACTCCAGAACCTCAACATGAAAAAGGTAAAGAACCCAATCACAAAATGGGCACAAGATATGAATAGACACATCACCAAAGAAGACATTCAGATGGCAGACGCATACATGAAGAAATGTTCAAAATCTCTAGCTATCAAAGAGACACAAATAAAATAGAAACAACTGTGAAATTTCATCTCACCCCAGCAATAATAGCAAAGTCCAACAGAGCAGCAAAGAACAAATGCTGGAGAGGTTGTGAAGAGATTGGAATTCTTATTCAGTGCTGGAGGGAGTGTAAAATGGTTCAACCACTATGGAAGGTGATTTGGCACTTTCTTAAAAAGTTGGAAATAGAAATACCATTTGACTCAGCATTTGCACTGCGGGGGATATACCCTAAAGCAACCAGAACCGCCATCCAAACAGACATATGCATGCCCATGTTTATTATTCACAATAGCAAAGAGATGGAAGCCTTCCAAGTGCCCATCAACAAATGAATGGATGGAAAAACAATGATACAGTCACACAATGGAATACTATACAGCACTGAAAAAAGTGAACTAAAAACATTACACGACTTGGGTGACCTTGTTGGACATTATGCTGAGTGAAATGTCTCAGTCTCAAAAGAACAAATAGTGCATAGCACCACTGTTATTAAGTAGGACTGTCATGGGAGTGGGAAAGAGAATTGGAAAAGAGTAGATAATGAACACTGTATTGGAATAGATGAGGGAGAGAACTCTTTAAAAGGAATATATGGTTATATATTATGAGAACAATGGTCCAAAATAAGAGGTACATGATAAAGAGGACTGTAGGAGGGTCAGTTGTGATTTAGTAGTACTTGATGCCAGTGAATTTGAGTTGGTATTTTTCTTTTCTTTTTTTCATTTTCTTTTTGTGTACTATCAAATCAGATCTGACTGGCACAGGAGGAAATTGCCCCTCCTTCTCCAGTGGAGCATCTAGTGGGTTCAAACCTCGTGCCTTTGAGATTGCATCACAACTTCTTGCCACTAGGACACCAGAGCACCTTTGGTATTTTTCTTTAATAGTTTATGATCTTGAGCTGTTTTTTCTTTTTCTCCATGTATTTCTTGTCCATTTGAATGTCATATATTTGTGTCCTCTGCCAATTTTATAATTGGAGTTTTTAATCTTTTTCTTGTTGAGGTGTTGGAGTTTTCTATAAATTTTAAAAATTAGTTTCTTTTTTGAGTATCTCATCGTCATATATTTTTCCCAGTGCATATGTTCTCTTTAATTTTTCGAATAAGTTTATTGATGTTAATTTATAGAAGGTCCCAATCATCTATTTTATCATAGCTATCATATCATGTATGCATTTGGTTGTATGTGACAGTCTACTTATTAGGCAAAGACATTTCTAACTAGTTGAGAATGCAAGAATAAGATGAAAAGTGGAATCTGCTAAAGTATGTAACAAGTGACAGTAGTAAAAATGTGTAGTACAGGAAAAAAGGCTTTTTGGATGATTTTAACAAAGTCATATGCAGGTTTTAGAATAGCTTTCAACATGTTTGACATTGACAGCAGTGAGATGGAGAAAAAGGAATTTTTGGTGATATGTATATGATGGTTACATTTTTATCATTAATTAAACATTACTTATATTTATGTGCTTTTATGTTATTGGGAATAAATACTATTGTATTTATTATAATAATGAAAGTTTTTTTATTACTTCATCTTAAGTTTATGAAGTATATATTCATGTACTTTGACAAATATTTCCATTATTACAGTATAAATTGAATTCCGTGGGTAATAACAATTATAATAGTTTACACATTATCCTTTCCATTTGAATTATGTCTTGCATTTTCTGTGGTGGCCATACAGACAATTCAAAGTTATAAATTCCCAGTGAATATTTAATACCTAGCATTCCAGGCCCCAATGACAACTGTTTGCCATGGAGACTTTACTTTGTTCTCCTTGAAGCACTTAACCACTTTTATTCTTTTCTTATTCATTCTGGCTTATATACCTGCCATGTCCTCTTTTTTTCCTGTTCCTTTTTCCTATCTTTGATCAAAAGCTATTCTAAAGCAGAAAGAGTAAGATTGTCCTTCGATACTTCCTTCCCTTTCTTACCCAACCAGTCCAGCCTTAGAGCTGGTGACGCTGATGAGACTTAAACTGCTCACTTATCTTAATGTGACTCTCCTTTCTCCACTTGAAGGGTTTCATATTTTTCTATCTAGGTACCTTACATCTGCTCTCGGGGCAAAATCTGGGTTTTTTTTTTCTCTCATTAGAAAGTTATGAAATTTATTCCTTAGCAAGCAAGGCTACTCCTAACATTCACATTCAACTCTTCCTTTATGTATTATACTCTTCTTGTAAAGAGACTATTTTGGACATTTTATTTTGAAATGGAACTACTGACATTTGTATAGATAGGAGAAAAAGAAGAGAAGAGCTAGTACATGAGCAGGCCATATTTTTTTCTGTGTAACAAGCCAAGGGCTGGCTGGCTAGCATCTCGATGGCGGTTTCGTCTTGAGGGCAGTCATGTAAGGGAAGTTTCTGGGACCGTGTTTGTTGTGTGTTAATGTTGTCTTCCCCCCTCAAAAGGGGGTGGCCCTTAAGGTATTAATTTTAGAATTAATATGCTTTAAAAGACACAGCTATCTTTTGTCTGTTTGCCGTACTGAACAACTTGGAATTCCTGTGATGCTTAACACTGTTCCATAGTCTTGTCAAATACTGTCATGTTTACCAATTATATACAATATTTGGATGAGCTTCCAGATTGATTCATGTTGGGAAGCAGGAGTGACATCCACTTCCTAAACTAGATGCCTCTTGAAACTCTACAAACTCTCTTTTAAATGTACAGAAATGATTTTAATTATGGAACAGAGTTCAGGTATTTTGTGCAAAGCTTACTCTGAGTCGTATTTGACTCGACAACACTTAAGCACTGCTAAATGAGACTACTGCTCTTTTATCTGGAGGAACATCCTTCCACTTTGCACATAACTCTTTGTCAATGGGCTGTGTGAAATAATCTGTGTTTTCTGTAATGCTGAACCTTGTGTCATCAGGATATCAAATACCATAAAGGTTTCCCATTTTGAACAGTGTTTGGTGGAGCTCCCAGTTGTAAAATAGGTTTGGAAGCAGGAGTGGCATCCACTTCCTAAGCCACATGTCTCTGGAAACTCTATGAACTTGGAGAAATGATAGCTATGGAAAGGCATGAGGTCTTTTGTTCATAGAGTCGTTAATGACTCGACAGCAAACAACAACAACAACATACAAGATCTAGGAAAATGCAATATGTAACAGTTTCTTATTTGTAATTATGTTATTAATTGACAAATATTCTATGAAAACTATTTAAATCAATCACATGTATTGAACCAGTAATATCAACCATGAACTTTATTTGCTTTCATGAAGTTAATTAACTATAGTCATTTCTGTGAATTTTCTAAGACATACATACTGAATATCCAGATTTTCCTCAATTAGAGTAGTTAGTGAGGTTAGCAGTGATAAAACCTTACTGTTGTGGGGTTTTGTTTTTTATTTGGTTTTGTTTTGTTTTTTTAGTTTAGAGATGAGGCTTTAATTTTTTTCAAATAAAAAACATTTCCCTCAACTTTTGAATGATTGGAAGTTCTAACCTACCAGTCAGCAACTCCTCACAGGAAAACAGGCATCTCCATTTAATGTTTCTAGCCTCAGAAACCTATTAGAGAGTCGTCATGAGCTGGAATAGACTCAAGATCCATAAATTTGCAGGTACTAAGCTTGCATGACTCCTCATTCATTGTGTTTTGTCAGAGGCCTCTGCATTGAGGATCTATCTTTGCCTCAAGAAGAACAGAAAGACACAGATAATTCTAGTGCAGTTTATAAATATGGCAATGGAGATGTGTCAGATGCTAGGGGAGTACAGAGGTGGGATGATTATACTAGGAAACAGGTGAAGACTGGATTTGAACTGAGGCTTAGAGGATAACCTCAAGTTCTCCAGTGAGACAGAAGACACAGGAAAACAGCACATGCTGCTCATTAAGAGAACATTAGGAACTGGTTGACTTGTGTGACTTTTATTAGGAAGAGTGATAAAAAGTGAAGCTGGGATCGTAAATTATAATAAGAATGTGAAGGGCTCTGTTCGGTAAACCCTGAAAATCTGGTTTGGGATGCAAAGCCCAGGGCAGATTGCAATAGAGTTGGCTCATAAAATCCTACAAAGTACTTTAGGGAACTCCGGTGGCCTAGTTCATAGGGAGTCGCAATTTTTTTAAAAGGAAAGGTGGACAAATCTTCCATGCAATTGACAACCTTGGAAACCCAGTGGATAGTCAGCTCTGAGTCAGTTCAGACTACACTACCTTTAGTTGAGTTGAGAATGTACTTACTTCTAATGACAAATCAGTCTGACTTAAACATTTTCCATCTACTTTCTCATATTTCTTTTTTACTCTGTATTTTTTCAATGTAGAGTCAAATCACAACACCTGACCTTTGGGTTTTCAGTGGGTCAGAATTATTAATGGTGAGTTTGATTGTGTTGTGAGGTGTGTGTGTGTGTGTGTGTGTGTGTGTGTGTGTGTGTGTAGTTCATTTATTTGCAGTAAATGGTTTGAGTGGTTAGAAATTTTTATAGGAAGAAAAGACTCTTACAGAATATTGAGACGATCCAAAAGGGCAAAATTATACTTTATTTTCTCTTCACTCACACACACACACACACACACACACACACACACACACACACACTTTTCTTTCTTTCTTTTTTAAAATTATTTCACATTCAGTTAGCAAATCTTTATTATACACTGATTCTTTTTGTTTTCTTTGTTTTTTAAATAGTGGACAGAAGACTGCAGAAAATCAACCTATCCTCCTTCTGGAGAAACGTGAGTAAACATCACAAGTTCCAAAACTCACTTTGACTTTTATGAAGATTTTTCCTCAAGTATAGTGATACCTTGTTTTGAGTAAAAGCTTAAACTATATATTCTGTCCTGAGCCAAAATATTTTCCCCTCTCAGGCTTTTGTATTACACACTGGCTAAGACCTTGTACAAATACGAAATGTTGTTTTTGTTAGATGTCATCATATTAACTTAAATTCAGAGAGGCCCTATGGAAAAATAGATCAGAACCCTACCCTAACCTGTACCATTCTTACAATCTCTGTCTGATAAGCCAAGCCACTTGTTACAGTCATTATGTCCATCTTGTTGAGGATTTTTCTTTCTCTGACACTAAACCCTTCCCCACATAATGTCTTTTTCTAGCAGCTGATCTCTCCTTGTAATGTTTCAAAGTACGTGAGATGAAGTTTCACTATCCTTACCTCTAAGGAGTACCCTTCGTCCAAGACAGATTTGTTTGTTCTTTTATCAGCCCATAGGCTATTCAGTACTCTTTTCCAAGACCACAGTTCAAAGCCATCAGTTTTTCTTCTGTCATCCTTCTTCACTGTCCAGCTTTCAGATGCATAGGAAGCAATTGAAAATACCATGGCTTGGAACAGATACACCTTAGTCTATAAACTCTAAAGAGTTCCTTGACAGCACATTTTCCCCAATGTGCCATGTCTTTTGATATCTTGACTTCTTTTCCCATTCTGACTGGTCTTGACTGTTGATCCAAGTAAAAGAAAATAATTGATAACTCTTCAATCTTTGCTACATCAATAATGATGCTACCTATTGGTCCATTGGTGAAGATTTTTGTTGTTTGATGTTGAGGTGTAAGCCATATTGAAGGCTATTGTCTTTTATCTTTTGCAGTGACTATTTCAGCCCTTTTCATTGTTAGCAAACAGTAGAAAATATTTATTGCTAAAAAATCCATTGTTACAAAAATGAAAGGGAAAATTGAAAGAGGAGGACTCCTTTTTCTACTAACTCATGTCTACAGCTAATTTATTTTATGACAGGTGGATGTTTATTCAGTCTTATAGCAGAACTGTCCTGGTGGTTCTCTGTGGTACCTAGACATAAAGCACCAAAGTTTACTGGAACAACAGCAAAAAAGAGTAAGCCTTCACAAGTGAAATGCTCCAGAAATAAACCATAGTCTGATAATCTAAGATATGGAGGACAGAACAAGATTGGAAAACATAGGAGAGCAAATGTCATATTTAAATATTTAACAGTAATATCTGCATCCCAGTTTTTTGTTATTGTTGTTGTTGGGTTTTTTGTTTTCTTGTTTGTTTTTTTTTTTTTTCATTTCTAAATCCACAGTGGTTAAATGGATCTGTGAGAAAAGCATAATGATGGCTCACAGGTGCAGGGGTCCAGAAAAGGAAAAAGTAGCAGAAAAGGATGCACAACAAGATCACTGTAATTGGTGTCACTAAATTTGATATTAAAAAAAAATGTTACATTGGCAAATGTAATTCACACACACATGCATACACACATATTTTTACAACAATTAAAAAGTTACATTGGGAAATTAAAAAGAATGCCTTCTTGACTGTTGGAGGAAGTGGAGTAGGATTTTAAGTAGTACAAAATGTCAGTGTCACATTTTCAATTTTAGGGATATTCTGAATCACACCTCTTGTTCTGCGTTTATTTAGGTAACAGATTCTAAATAGATGACCACAGATAGAATGGGAAGGAATAATTAAAGGGAATTCTTTTGTTTATTCACTTTCATGTAGAAAGAATTGGGATGGGAGTGTCAGAGACAGTGCGATTGGCACAGGACAGAGCGGAGTTTAGGGCTGTTGTATATAGGGTCGCTATGAGTCACAGGCGACTCGGCGGCACATAACAACAACAACAACAACATGTAGCAGAAGATATTTTAGAGGTAACCCACTTCAGTATGATTCTAGCCCTCTCGTTAATAGCTTGCTTTCTCGTAGTCTTCTTCTTTGTTATCACTAACACCATTCTGATCTGAGTGTCAGAAATGTGCTGATTGAGTCATTTGACTGTTCTCAGTTGTCCTAATTTATTGAGCATTTAGTAAATATCTTCTGTTTAAGGCCTTTACTTTTTTTGTCTTTTTTTTTTTTTTTATTCTTGCCTTTTGTATGTCTTGAATGGATTTCCCTGAAGATTTTCCCTGCTTAGATGTTTAATTAGATAGTGTGCTGCTAACCAGAAGGTTAATGGTTCAGATCCATCAGGCGCTTCTTGGAAGAGAGATGGACAGTCTCTTCTTGTAAATATTTACAGCCTTGGAAACCCAAGGTCACTTCAAGTGAGAATGGACAGCTGTGGATTTGGGATGTTGCTGTGTGTATATGTGTGTGTAAATGTGTTTGTGCCTTTGTGTGTGTATATATACACATATATAAATTTGTTTTTAGGCCTTGTCACATTGATTACCCTCATAGCAACCCTATGGAAAAAGAGAAACTTTGCTCTATCTTGAACCGTCCTTGCAGTCTCTGCAATGCACAAGCCTATTATTTTCAATCACTGTGTGACTCTATCTCATTGAGGGCCTTCCTCCCTTTTTTCAGACTTTTCTTCTTTTCCATATATAACATTTTCCCACACCCACACACAATGTGCCTAAAGTAGACACAATAAAGTTTCACCATCCTCATGCCTAAGGAGTGCTCTGGTGCAATTCCTCCAAGACAGATTTGTTTGTTCTCTTGGCATTCCATGTTATCACACTCAGGACTCCAACACCACAGTTCCAAGGTAGGCACCTCTCTTTAGTTCTCCTTATGCGTTGTCCATCTTTCACATGCATATGAAGCAGTTCTGAATACCATGGCTGAGATCAAGTGCTTCTTAGCCTTTAAACGGTCATCTTTTTTACTGAGCACTTTGGAGAAGTTTTCAACAGCATATTTGCTTAAGGCAGTTATGTCTTTTGATTTCTTGGCTGTTGTTACCATTGGTTGATTGTGGATCCAAGTAAACGACTTCAGTATTTTCTCCATCTGTCATGATGTTGTTGCCTATTAAGTCAGTGGTAAGGATTTTGTTTTCTTTTTTAAAAAATTCATTATTTTTTGTGTGTGTACTGTCAAATCAGATCTGACTGGTACAGGAGGAGTTGTCCTTCCTTCTCCAGCAGAACATCTGGCCACCAGAGCTCCCTGGAATTTTGTTTTCTTGATATTGATATTTTGATCCCTACTGAAGTTTTTAGTACTTCATCATCTTTAGAATTTAGGGTCTTCAGTTTCTGTGAGCAAGGTTGTGTCATCTGCTTAATGTAGGTTGTTGGTCAATATTCCTGCAACATTGTTCTTCATATAGTCTTTTGTTGTTGTTGTTGTTATGTGCCGTCGAGTCGTTTGCTACTCATAGCGACCCTATGCACAACAGCCCTAAACCCTGCTCTGCCCTGCGCCAACCGCACTGCCTCTGACACACCCATCCCAATTACCCCAGTCACCGAATCAATCCATCTCATAGAGGGTCTTCCCCTCCTGCGCTGTCCCTCCACCCTCCCAAGCATGATGTCCCTCTCCAAGGACCCATCCCTCCTGGCAACATGTTCAAAGTATGTCAAACGTAGCCCCAGAATCCTTGCCTCCAAGGAGTAGCCTGGTTTAACCCTCTCCAAGATGAATCTGTTTGTTTTCCTGGCAGTCCATGGTACATTCAGTACTCTTCTCCAGCACCACAGCTCAAAGGCATCCACTCTCCTTCTGTCCTCCCTAGTCATTGTCCAACTCTCTGATGCATAACAAGCGATTGCAAAGACCATGGCCTGTATCAGGCGCACCTTAGTCTCCAGAGAGACACTGTTGCTCCTGAGTACTTTAGAGAGGTCCCTAACAGCAGACTTTCCCATCACGATACGCCTTTTTATTTCCTGACTGCTGGTGCCAAGAGTGTTGACTGTGGAGCCGAGCAAACTGAAGCTGTGAACAATCTCAATCTCTTTGTCATCCATCCTGATGCTGCCAATTGGTCCAGTGGTGAGAATCTTTGTCCTCTTGACATTGAGCCTCAGTCCATACTGAAGGCTGCAGTCCTTGACACTTCGCAGCAAATGCATGAAGTCCTCCTCAGTTTCAGGAAGCAGGGTTGTGTCATCTGCATAACGCAGATTGTTAATAGATCTTCCACCAATCCTGATGCCACAATTCTCCTCATAGAGCCCAGCCTCTCGGATAATCTGCTCTGCATACATGTTGAAAAGGTATGGAGACAGGATGCATCCCTGGCGCACACCCTTCCCAATTTTGAACCATGCAGTGTTACCCTGCTCTGTTCTGACGACTGCCTCTTGGTCCAAGTATAGGTTTCGCATTAGCACAATTAAATGTTCTGGGATTCCCATTCTTCTCAGAGTCAACCACAGTTTGTTATGATCCACACAGTCAAATGCCTTTGCATAATCAATGAAACACAGATAGACATTCTTCTGGTATTCTCTGCTTTCAGCCAAGATCCATCTAACATCAGCAACAATATCCCTAGTACCACGGCCCCTTCTAAACCCAGCCTGGACTTCCAGCAATTCTCTGTTGATGTGCTGTTCTAATAGTTTTTGGATAATCTTTAGTAGAATCTTGCTTGCATGTGAAATCAATGACACTGTTCTATAGTTTCCACACTCCGTTGGGCCACCTTTCTTGGAATGGGAACAAATATAGATCTCTTCCAGTCAGTTGGCCAAGTGGTTGTTCTCCAGATTTCTTGGCACAACTTTGAGCACATCCAGGGCAACATCTGTTATCTGGAATACTTCAATTGGTATACCATCTATTCCTGGGGCCTTATCTTTTGCTATAGTCTAACTTCTCAAATAATTTGCTCAGTGTACAGATTGAAGAGTTAGACACCAAAGATACAACACTGTTGCACACCATTCTTCTGTTTAAGCAATATAATATGCTCTTAGAGAGCTCTGGTGTATTAGTGGTAAGAAGCTGCACTGCAGTCCTGAAGGTATGCAGTTCGAATTCACCAGC